CCGAACCCCCCCCCCCCCAAAAAAAAAAAAACTACGGGTCTGTTTATCTCATCATAAATATACAAAATCACTCTAATATAAAACGTTGTATCAATGTCAGTGAAAATTAATCAAAATTGACAGCGAGAAAAGCTCTCGGAAATCAACTACGAGTCAGTCACCTTTGTCACGTTCAAAACGACTGCCGTAAGACCAGGCAACCGATGACGTAATTAGTTCGCGCGCGTCAAATGTATTCCTGACGTAAGTATTTCGTAAGTTAACGGGAAACTTTGCGATTACGCGAGTGATACTGAAGTAAGGACGTTGAAGAACGCAGATTTTTTCCAGAAACGTAAGAACAGAAGTAGATGAAATGTGGCAGTTCCTAAACAGGAGGAGACGGCGCTTGGAGTAGTGAGCCTGGGTTTCACTGATGACGTGATCACGTGATGCAGTACGCGAGAAGTAAGCGTGTGCGTGACGGAAATGGAACGTTTCACACGCGTCACAGTCATTATTAGGAATAGAACGCTCTCTGTAAACATTCCGTCATCACGCCTTGAACAGCACAGTCTCTAAACTTTGTAATTTAGTTTCTTAAAACTATGGGCAACGCGAATTGTAAAACGCAAACAGTGGATAATGTTGATGTAAACAACAATGACAGTGTGGAAAGGTAAGAACTGAAATTTATCGTAGTTTGAACTTTGAAAGCAGAAAATTAAAAGTTATTCGTCATCACATGCTCTTATTTCGAACAAGTGCTCAGATATGATTATAGTAGAAAAGTTGAATTATGAAATGAAAAATTTAGAACAGTGAAATGTTTACATTCGGTATATACTAATCAGAACATAGCGATATTAGTGATTGATATCCAAGTCAATTTATGCGCTATGACGCAAGTATTTACATAATTCAGAATAGGAATCCGGGTAATTTTGCATTTTCTTTTATTTCATTTGACTCGTTTTGAGGGGACAAAAAAAAACGTTCACGATTGCTCGTATTGTCCCTGAGCAAGCTCGTTCACGATGTTTTATATAACTTGTTATTCAATTTCTATTCGGTAGGACGACAACGTCGTCTGTCCTCGATTGGGATATCGCAATGTTCGAGAAGACGTTTGATGAACTTTCCTCACGCTTTGAAGAGATCATTGAAAACAACCAGAACTTAAAGTCAGCCGTGGGATGTTCTTTCTTCGCAAAGCGTAAGACCTTCGCCGTAACCGAAATTGAGGAAATTCGCCAAATTTTTATCGAAATGATGGTTAGGATAAAAGACATCGTTGGAGAAAACAATGAATTATATTCGATGGTGTTCCCCAACGATGACCACCATTCTAGCCATATCGGAAAGATGGAGTGCGTCCGCCAAGAAAACAATCGTCTATCTCTCACAATATCTGAGTTGGAAAGTCGCTGTAATGCTCTTAATGAGGAGATAGCAAAGTTGGATGAACTGAACACCAATCAGCGAGACAAACTAACTGTTCTCAATGAGGAGATACAAAAGTTGAATGAACTGAACACCACTCAACAAGACAAACTATCTGACGTTGAAAGTGAGCTGCGGTACATGGGAGATAAAGCCGATGACCTCGATAAAGACAAATTCGAACTGCAATTAAAGCTTGAGGATGCAACAAAAATGTTGAGTGATAAGAAATCCGAAATAAGAGCGTCAAACATTAGTTACAAAACAGAACTCAGAGAGATGAAAAAGATTGTCGAAGAACTAGAAAACAAAGTAGAGATATCCGAAAAAGAGGTAGTGTGTTTGACAGAACAACTTAACAACCAGGAAGCATTTTCACGCAACACAGAGCAGCATCTTTTAACCACACAGTCATCACTGAGTGTGTTCGCAGGACAGCAAACCACAATGGCTTCCACTGTACCTGGAAATTACCAACACTTTCAGCAGCAACAATTTGCCTCCCAACAAGTGTCTTATCAGTTCAAAAACACCGTGAATCAAATGAATTCCGTGCAGCAATCCGTTGTCGTAGCAACATCAGAAATACGTCAGATCTCGCAGCTAGTCACAACCCAAGAACAGTTGGAATTTCATTCTCAGTACAATCATGATGTACACTCCTCCCCCATGTCTACAACCGCTGT